TAAGGAGGTTATTAAGAAAACGGAAGAACTGATGGGACCGATTTACTGTGACTGGGAGGGATGAGTTTCGGATAGAATACCGCAAAATTCGGAACCTTTGCAAGTATAAGATTGACAAAAGTCGTATAGAGTATGAGAGACAGTTGGCACTGGATTGTGTGCATTATCCAAAAAGACTGTACTCGTATATCAAACGCAGGACTAAAACTAGCAGTGGTATACCGTCCCTCAATAGCAATACTGGAGAGGCGGCCGAGTCAGACGAAACAAAAGCTGAAAAGCTCTCCGAATAATTTGCGATGTTTTCTCGCCTAATCGTACCACTTAGGAGTGTAGCGAGGTCACTGATGTAGCCAATAAAATGCCCACAATTGTGGTAGAGGATGCAGTGGTTCTCAAACTACTGTCTAAGCTGAAGCCAGGTAAATCACCTGGACCTGACGGAATTCATCCTAGACTGCTAATCTCCTTGGCGGATATAGTATACATTCCACTTACGGAGATTTTTCAAATGTCTCTGACCCAGGCTAGGCTACCCAGGGACTGAAATGACGCTTTTATAAGTTCCATCTTCAAAGAGGGGAACAGACAGTTAGTATACAACTACTGGCCTGTAAGTCTGACCTGTATTATAGCAAAGGTGTTAGAAAAACTCATAAGGGATCAGCTCTTAGCTCATATGGAAAATCATGGCTTACTGACAGAGGAACAGCATGGATTCCGACCAGGACGATCCTGCTTGACAAACTTACTGTTAGCTATGGAAGATTGGGTCGACGCCAGGGATAAGAACCATCTACTGGACATTGTCTTTATCGATCTTAGTAGAGAATTCGATAAGGTATCCCATTTAGGTCTTCTCAGTAAACTTAAACGTTTTGGATTAGATCAACGCTTATGTGAATGGTTTAGAGACTATCTGATGGATAGAAGGCAGAAGGTAAGGGTTAATGGTGTACTGTCAGGATGGAAAGCAGTACTAGGTGGAGTACCTCAGGGAACTGTACTTGGCCCCTTGCTATTCCCATTATACGTAAATGAAGTGCCAAAACTTCTTACCTCATCTTCCTTACTATTTGCGGACGATATTAAGATATAGAAAACCGTAAATAGTAACGATGATAGGTTGGTACTACAAAACGATCTAGATAAATTATCCGAATGGGCTAACCCTTGGGATCTGGGAATTAATTCCAAGAAAAGCACGGTAGTGCACCTAGGTCAGAAGTCTTGCACATCGTACTCCCTGGGAGACACAGAACTGCCAGATGTTAGGGGACAAAACGACTTAGGAATTATTGTAAGCCATGACTTAAAAACAAGGGAAAATTGTAATTGAGCCATAGCTAAGTCTTTTCGAATGCTATGGGCACTTCGAAGGGCTTTCTAACGATTAGACGAGGGTATGTTCCAAGTACTCTATGCAACACATGTCAGACCTCATAAAGCGGTGAGTCCATGACTCAAAAAGGAGGCGCATATCCTGCAAAGAGTACAGAGGGTAGGAACGAAATTATTTAGTGGTATCTCACACCTTCCTTATGATAATAAGAGGATGGAGCACTTAAATCTCTTCCCATTATCATTCAGAAGGAGGAGAGGCGACTTAATTCTGGCTTAACGTATAATAAAGGGTGATTTAGGGATTGACATTTCAAACCTTTTCTCTCCATCTAGGATACATTCACGAGGTCACCAAAATAAGGTGCTCAACGCGAGGTGGAGTAAAATATGTGTGGAATTTAGATTCTCTCAAAGAGTGGCCAACGACTAGAACTCCTTAAACGATACAGTAGTATACGCTCCATCGGCGAACGCTTTCAAAGAGAAACTGGATTCATAAAGAGATATATATCTCAAGAATTAACATAGTCAACAAGAGACATCTATCATGATAAACTGAATCTGAAAATGAATCTAAAAGACAAGCAGTCTACACCTCCCTACATGGCTCAAACCAACAATCAAAGACTCCATGGATTGATGAGACGTTTTCATCTGACCACTCCCAGACACCTGAATCGATGCAGGTCTACAAGCTCATGCAGACACTGAGCAGCATCAGCGAGGTGACCTGCTAGGGAGAGTTGTTTCACTGGTAGATAGTGAATGGACGTAATCTATCTTATTACCCGACTAGTAAATTCTATCTAACCTTTTTTTGTCTGAGTCTTCATTAGTATAATTTTGTTTTATCAATTGTAATATTTTACATTTTCAAGTTTCTTGTTCTCTACCCCCGATTTAATTTCTACATCTCAATACCACTCTTACTAACCTGACCAACGCTCAACTTCTAGTCATTTATGTTACGTCATCCAACTTATTTGCTCAATTTCAGTTCTAATTTAAACGGCATTCTCTACCCCACTTCTACTTAGTCTCTACTTGTGATTACCTCTGTTACTACCCTGACCCAAATTGAAACATTTATATTACGTCATGTAACTTACTAACTCAATCCTACTTTAGTTGCTGTTTAATTAACCTTGTTTCTATATTAGATCATTCTTGTATTACCTGATCAATTATCTTTTTTATTACAGCTTGATTCCACACTGTATTTTCGGTACAAGTATGGAATTTTCAGCATGGATATCGGTAGCCAAATTTTGCAGGCCGACCATAGATATCATGTGTGCGTCGGCGGGGGATCGAACCTCGGACCATGTGCATGGTCGGCGAGAGTCCTAACCATTGTGCCACTGACGCACAAACCTCATGTACACACATACACACAAATAATTATGTATAAATGCGATTGTACAGCTATGTGACTGAATTCACCGAAAAGAGTCTCTTCCCTGAACGTCTTCTCTTTTTCATATGATTCAATAGGGATTTTCAAGATAGTGAATAGCCTAAGGACATAAAGGTATATGTGTTGGTAGTCTAGGACGATACATACTACGCGTTATCGATATATCAGGCTATCTTGTAGAGATGAGAGTATGCAGCATGCTACTCGTCTGTTGTTACATCAGATATACGGCGAAGAGTACTGGGAACTTAGTTCTTGATAGAAGTAGGTGCAGTAGCTGATATCAGGAATAAAAAATAGAACGCGAAATGCAGGCAATTTTTGATTCGCGAGAACAGTAAAGTAGAAGCAGTAAAACACCGTTTAGAACGAAGAACCAAATATCAGCAAATTGATGGCTAAATACACCAGTTTATTCATGGCAGAGGGAAAATCCTACGGGTGTTGTGACTTTTCCTCCACAAAAGTGGCTGAGAAAGAAGTAAACAGATAAGTTCACGAAATGTTTTTGTAAGGGGATAGTCGAAGAAACCGACCGTCCGTACAACTTTTCAGTCTTGATTGTGAAGAAACCCAACAGGAAGTATAGATTTTGCGTTGATTTTAGACAGCTGAACAGCCTAACCGAAGTAAAGCCATGTTCAATGCCGACTATAATAGCAAAGCTAGACCATCTGCAGAAAGCCGAACTGTTCATTTTTCGATCTACGATCAGGTTATTGGCAGATACCAATAGAAGAAAATAACATGACAAACGAGCCTCTACTGATGGTTGAAACCGATATCAGTCCAAACAAATGGCGTTCGGATTTAGAGGTGTGTCATTTAAGTTTAGGGAGAATAGGAAGAATGTAGAAGGATATGGCTAATTGGATTGAAAACGATGAATGTGACATTCTGGTACATAAGTATTTTCCTGGAAACTGAGTTCAAACAACACATGGATTAACAGCTTAAACAGATACCAAAAACGTCAGGCAAAACATTACAGGAAGGCAGTTTAAGTGACCCACAAAGCTAGCATCCAACATCATTAACTACAGTGTCGCATGGTGGGTTAACGCCGAATCAACACACGAAACCAAGATCCTAGTGGAACTCCAAGTACTCAGACGCCACAAGGAGATAACCAATCTAGACAGTTCACCCTCGGCTCTTTTTATAGATAGTGTTGAGGCTCTAGTCAGCAGACTAACTGAGTTGTTTAAGAAAGTATGAGGAAGTGAGTATGTTTCACTAATGTGATATGAAGTCATTATCCTCAAAAGGGTTCCTACGCAATGCATGTGACAATCACAGATATTAATTTGTTACCAGCTGCATCTAAAATACTGGCTGCTACCTGAAGGTTGTGTAAAACGCATGAGAAGTCGATTCATGAAGAGTATGTTGGGTTTCGTTCAGCCCGTGGATACACTCATCCTTCAACAGTTGGCAGAATAGCGTTACTTGTGTTGCAGGCCAACAGTAGTTGTACTTCTTTATCCGATTCATCAGTCCGCTCCGTCCTCCTTTATGGATGCTAGTGAGACCTGGCCATCGAGAGTGGAAGACATGAAAATGCTGGCTAGCTGTCTTTGATCATAGGTGCCTGCGCTCTGTGGTATAATAAGGTAAGCAATATTAAGGTAAGGCGTTGGTAGAGTTCTAGGTAAACAGGGGAAATCAATCGACGAGGCTGTGAAATCACATCGACTGAGATGGTTAGGACATGTGTTACGTATGCCTAGTCATCGCCTTCCTCGACGGGCAATGTTAGCTGACATAGGGTCAGGGCTGGAAAGGAGCTAGTGGCGGTCGAACCAAAACATGATACCGGTCAATGACATCTATAACAGTTAGTTTAATCCAGCCAAGTAGGAAGGTGTAGACTTCCTGATGGGTTGGGATCCTCGGGACGGTAAAAGCCAGTGGCTAGAGACGATTAGTGATATGGCTCAAAGCTATCGTTCTCAATGGCTGGCTGGCTCAGATGCATCCACTCCTTGTGACTTATGATTTCCAATGAAACTCTTTTGTTCTTCGTTATTACTATTCCTTTGTCTCACACCTCTGTTTACTGTTTCTAATATGCATTTCTTCTACTTTCTTCTCTTGGTTTGTGTGCTACATGGAGTGTGGCGACTTGAACTGCCGCACATCGGTGCAAAGTTCTGTGTCGAAAACAGACAGAACCCTAGTATGTATTCAAAATAAATGCGTAAACCCACTATTCCTACGTTGAACAGGGAAGAATTAATTAAATCCTCTTATTTCATTTATTTCAATAAACTCACCTCCCCCCGTTCATATACATATTACATTTGCTTATCTACTTCGATTTCTACTGCCAATCCATCATAATTATCTTTCAAATTTTGATTCATTTTATCTACTTGTACAATTAAACTGTTTACAAAATCTTTACTCTCGTAACTACTAGTAGTAGGAATAGTAAGATTGTACATACAAAAATGATTCTCTCTTGTATGCATATATTTTTTTGGAAAAGGGCTTGAAAAAAGAACATAATGAAAATTATAAGAGTGATTACAAGTGTACAATTCCAAAATTGATATTATCGAAAAGACAATTTCTTTTAGGCTTTACATATCCAACATGTCTAGAATCCACAAAGAGAACAGAAATGTAAGCAACTAAACAAAACACAATCTACACGAGATTTAAACATTAAGCAATAAAATAACAGAGTTAGAAATAAGTTTAGTGTACATTTACAAGTGTGGTACTGCATAATACTCACTCGATATGAAGGTGTAAGATACAGAAACAAATTGACGAAACAAAAACAATAAACTTGTTTCCATTTCTATTCTTATTGTCTATTTTTTAACAGTTGTATTGTCAAATATTCTTTCTACGTATTCATGTTGGTTCCTAATCTTTTCATACATTTCATCTAATGTTTCACGAACTTCTTGTAAAACAGGAACAACAACTTTAGGTGAGTATATATCTTGTGAATCCAATACAGGTATCTGATGTATATTTTCAAGGGATTCACGTAGCTTGTTTATTTCACTCACCTCACAAAGAAACTGAAATTAATTGAAGGAAAATAAAACGTCGATAAATAAGTTGAATGCCAAAATATTTACACATTGCATCGTCTCGTAGCACTAATGGATAAAAGCGCAGACGTAACTAAGTGCAAATGTATTTGTCTCTCAAGTGTTGTTTGGCAGGGATCTAACTGATTTCAAGTTAGACCATGAATTGACATTAGTTAGAGAATAATTAAAAACCAGAAAGTACCGAACAGTTGTTCCCTCCTAGACTACGACTCTCTTTAGCGGTGTGCACTTATGACACCAAAGGGGATCGGACCCAAGACCTTGAGGCGACTAGGCGAATCCGTTGGCCACCTAAACAATGGAACTGAATCTAATGGCCCATGATATCCAACTTCCACCAATTTGTCACATATAGCTCGACAGCGCGTCCGAACCAATGGCGGGTTTAAACTGACAGACTCCATTGAAGACTACTTCTCACTAGGAGATTCAGGCAAACTAATCCTGTAGTAAGTCACTAGTGAATAGCAGATTAATCTCCTAGTGTTGGACTGCAGATTTAGTTTCCTTCTCACTGAGAGAATGTATTAATTAGTTAATTTTCAGGTTTAAACCTCCAGATTTTTGTGAATAATTAATTATACATTAGTCTACTGTTTACTACCAGCAGTAGTTGGTGATCCTCAGATTATCTTGAGAGCGTACATAGGAAGTACTTATAATAAAAATATTGGACTTTCGACCAATAGATATCTTACAGTTAGATTTCATTCTTCACACTGGCACAGTAGCTAGTTATGCATATTCGCAAGCTTCATATTCTGATGGCGATTTATATCTTTGTAACTAGTGGTATCCCTCCAAAAGAAACCAGTCTAATAATGACTGATTTTCAGAAATGCGGTCAAAGTGAAAATTAAGAGTAGATGACTACACAAAATAGCATTCATACATTAAGTCTGGGCTGAGATCCACAATTTTTCTGAAAGCCTATGACATTGGAGGCAATCCAAACATTCTTCCGTCATGAAATGGAATGAACCAATCTAACCTTGTTTAAAACAAGCAATAAAGGCTAATAAAACAGGATTTAATGAATTCATCAAATTTTCGTAGAACTCGTCAGCTGAATACTCTACATACACGGATATATATACTTTTGAAATTACATTGGGAGATATAAGACTGATAAGTAAACCAACTACATTGAATTAGTCATGCAGAATGACACGTGCGAATGTTTTCCAGGTCATGTTCAAGTAGATAAGGCGAGAGAGAGTATGAGAAATCGAAATTAAGATAAATTGCATTATGCTTCAATTACATCACTTAGATAAACAGTTAGTCGTTAGGGAATATAACGAGAATTGCAAACAGACTAATATCAATAGTAATAGTTATAATAACAATTTTAATAGTGTTGAAGTGAGTTAAGATAATCTTACGGATAAGGCATAGATTTAAATGAATCAAGAATAATAATAATGACAGTAATAATAACAAAAATAATAATAAGAGGTAGAATAATAGTAATAACAAGTAGAGAATAATAAGTAAAGCGTATTACCATGGTAGATTCAGAGTGACGACCATCTCCTTTTGTATACAAAGAGCTGGTTTGTAAATTCGTATTGCACAAGCCTCTGCAATTGCAAGCATCTTCTTGTTTCTTTGTTTGCTGACAATGGTGAATGACTTGACCACGTCGATATCATGTCCGTAATCCACGAGATGTCTTGTTATTGAGGATTTTGACACTTTACACTCAGCTGTTTTCAACCATTTTGGCAAATGCTCCATCATGCGAGTAGACAATCACCTTTCCGTACGACCTATGTATTTGCTGCCACAAACACACTCAAATTGATATATGCAGTTTGAAGTGTCGAGGATTGGCGACTGGTCTTTCCCAGATTGTTGAAGCACTCCCTTGGTGGTGTTAAGGAAAACAAATTTTGCAACATAATAAGTTCTCTTGATGGCTTTGTCGAGTCTTCGTTTCACTACTTCTTGTACGTCATCTCCTTTGAACGGCAAATTGATATAGACAGGTTTCTTTGGAACTGTTTGAATTATTTTGCAGAGATTTTATCGAAGAATGGATATCCTGAGAAGTTCATTAATAAATACTCTAAAGAAACTACCCCTTGCAAAACAATTCAAACAGTTTCAGAGAAACCTGTCTATATCAATTTGCCGTTCAAAGGAGATGACGTACAAGAAGTAGTGAAACGAAGACTCGACAAAGCCATCAAGAGAACTTATTATGTTGCAAAATTTGTTTTCCTTAACACCACCAAGGGAGTGCTTCAACAATCTGGGAAAGACCAGTCGCCAATCCTCGACACTTCAAACTGCATATATCAATTTGAGTGTGTTTGTGGCAGCAAATACATAGGTCGTACGGAAAGGTGATTGTCTACTCGCATGATGGAGCATTTGCCAAAATGGTTGAAAACAGCTGAGTGTAAAGTGTCAAAATCCTCAATAACAAGACATCTCGTGGATTACGGACATGATATCGACGTGGTCAAGTCATTCACCATTGTCAGCAAACAAAGAAACAAGAAGATGCTTGCAATTGCAGAGGCTTGTGCAATACGAATTTACAAACCAGCTCTTTGTATACAAAAGGAGATGGTCGTCACTCTGAATCTACCATGGTAATACGCTTTACTTATTATTCTCTACTTGTTATTACTATTATTCTACCTCTTATTATTATTTTTGTTATTATTACTGTCATTATTATTATTCTTGATTCATTTAAATCTATGCCTTATCCGTAAGATTATCTTAACTCACTTCAACACTATTAAAATTGTTATTATAACTATTACTATTGATATTAGTCTGTTTGCAATTCTCGTTATATTCCCTAACGACTAACTGTTTATCTAAGTGATGTAATTGAAGCATAATGCAATTTATCTTAATTTCGATTTCTCATACTCTCTCTCGCCTTATCTACTTGAACATGACCTGGAAAACATTCGCACGTGTCATTCTGCATGACTAATTCAATGTAGTTGGTTTACTTATCAGTCTTATATCTCCCAATGTAATTTCAAAAGTATATATATCCGTGTATGTAGAGTATTCAGCTGACGAGTTCTACGAAAATTTGATGAATTCATTAAATCCTGCTTTACTAACTTTGTTTACCTGAAGACATAATTTTACCCGAGTAACATCAACTGTCCTGAGTTATCTATGTTAAAGTAAAACGTTGGTACTATGGAGGAAAATTATTCTATATTAATTAATTTTATCAAGTTTAATACACAGTAATAGTAGATGATCGACATTCCAACCACAATTCACCCCCTAGAATTATACCAGTGTAGTCATACAATTTCAGGTTTTGTTTTTTCTTATTTTCCTGTAGGAGGATTTTCCATATGTTAGGGATTGGTATTGCATCAATCCCACAGCACGTGTCGAGTATGTCGAGTTGATTCAGTAGCTAAAGAGTCATTAATTAACTGTTTGATGTTGTATACTACTGATTGATTGGCGTGAATAGTTGGATGCCACTCAGATCAACTAGCTGCGCTTACTAACCAGATAGAAGTGATCTCAACACTGGACGCGTGTTCCCCTGTTTTCGGCACCAAGTAGATCACATGTGATCTGGAAAATTTTAGCTTCCAAGAGAAACTGTGGTGAAATTTCTACCTTGAACTGTATAAATTGTAAATCGCGAAGTGATTTGAAAATCTGAACCAAAACATATAAATTCATGATACTGTTACCTACCCAATCCTACTTTGTTGTGCGATTGTATCATGGTGTATGCATAGTAACGAACGAGATGTTTCTTGATTACTTATCCTAGTGAGATTCTTTACCCTAGATTTGGTTTAATTGCAATTTTCTCGCAATCTGAGCAACCCCCGATTGACCGACATATTTAACTTCACAATGACTACTTGGTATTTGGTAAGTTAAGTAATTTCGTTTAAATGAGTCTAAATTACAATTCCACCTTCAAGTTCCTTCCTCCTACAGTAATACCAAGGGAGTTTATTCCTGATCACATTGTAATCATTTCTAAGCTACTTTTATTTTTGTAAATGAGCTTTATAAATTTCAATGAATTCCAACGGATTACTGATTACTAACATGAAGTAATATAATTAGATGGAGAGGAGAAATGCTTGGTTCTTCATTCATTGAAGCAACACTCGACACGTGCTTTGGGAATAACACGATACTCATTCCTAACAAATAAAACGTTCTACTACAGTAAAATAAGACGAAATAGAATATAAAGCAAGTTAGGAATTTGTATGACAGTTGGTTTCACTGGCGTGAAGTTATGTCTACATATGAACAAAATTAAATTGGCTCATCATTTTCTCTCACTTCACGAAGCTGTAGTCAAGCAAATATTTTTCAGTAGGAAACGTTTTACAAATGTAAGGAAATCTTAGAAAAACGACGAGAAAAAGTGAAAACTGACAAAACAGGCATAAATATTCGTAAACGTATTGACCTTAAACGGTAACAAATAAAGAAGTTACACAAAAGTACTGATGTACCTCTGAATCACATGCGTAAACACCCTACCTCATATGTTTCTTCTCCATCCAAACGAAGTTCGACTTCATTGGCTCCTATTTCAATGCCCAAATTGGTTGCGGCATCCAAATTTGGTAAACGTTCATTGGACTTAGCAGAAACAGTGATTACGCCTATATGATCGAAAAATTGGTTGGCTATATCCCCTGCAGGTGCAACAGAACAACTTAAGAAAATGAAAATTTCAACAGTAAGTTACCCAAATCTTTTAATGAGTGAGGCAATACGCTGACGTTCACTTTGGACTTGTTTGGCCCGACTTTCCACTAGCACGAACAAACCACCGGGAGCCTTTAGTTCAATTAAATACGGTTCAATCACATTGTCTGCACTCAGTTGTTTCTCTAGGGTAGAAAAGGGGACAGCCTTTGATTTGGCTTCAGCCAAAACTGCTGCTAATTTTGTATTTAACTTCGGATCACGGATACCACCACCATCTATGTTTAACATTACTAAAGATCGCCATCTGCCTTACTTCTAATTGCTGACTGCACAGCCCTAATATAGTAGATTGCATTTTTGCTTTTTTCGCGGTCACCAGCCTCTTTAATATGTCTCACATTCTGCCAATGAGAGTGTCCAGCAAATCGCTTGAATTGTGTTACTAAACAATAATCCTTAGTTCCAAACAGATACACTGGAGCTTTAAGGAAATACTTGTTAGTATGTTTAGATGATAATAATCGACTCGAGAAGAGACCGAATACAATCTGATTCATTTTGTACCGAAAATAGAAGTTTATTCGCTTCTATTGTTTTTATTTGGTTGTCAACGAAGGACAGCTACTTCATAAGGGCGCAGAAAACAGATCTGAAAGGGGACGAAGAAAAATTTCAGTTATGAAAGGTACTCAGCAAAAAGGAAGCCCTCATACCAACATCTATCAAATTATATTTACATGCTTTCACAGAGTAACAAATGAAGAGAGGCAATGTGAGGTGCATCTACTGTCACTTAAAAAAAGGATATACTACAATGAAGACTTCATAGTTACGATAACTAGACCCAAAAGATTAATCATACGGCACACAGATACTATCTTCTAATTATTGGTGTTACACGAAATAAATGGTCATAATCTTAAATACTTTAGGAATAAAAACGCTTACAACAGTTACCCCAATGCGATGAATTACTGCATCCAATCGTAAAACCGACAGTAAATGCAGTTCTACGAAACCCAGTTTACAAAATCCTCGACCAATTAGTCGAACACCAGTTTGTATTTTAGCGTGAAGCTCTTATTCATCTGAAATCCAAACTTGGTATATCGGGTGGCAAACAAGCAATTTATAAACTTCCTAATGAACAAAGAAGCAGATCTTTAGATGTTGGAATTACGGTTATTAAAGCCAAACATATTCAATGATGTCTGAAGTTCAGTGATTCTCTAAATGATATCGGTATGCAACGAAATCTATCTTAAAATAAACCAATTCCCTGGAACACAACACTTAATTTGAATTACTGAAGGAAAACAGGTAAAGGAGCAAATGTTTGTATGAAGGACTACTCCCCGAATCTTTGATTTGAGATGTGGCTTCCAATACAACAGAACAACGTCAGGAACTTTATTTACAGCGTCGGCGATGACTGAAACAGGTTCATAAACCATTCGTCCCTTTTGGATACTGGGTCCTATGTGCACCAAAGGTTTGGGTTCCGAGTTTTTCAGCCACCCACGGTAAACCCTTTATATCCAGTGCTGGGCTATAGGCCACAGTTACTGTGTAGGAGCTTATGGAGAGTTGTCATCTGAACTGGTGACAGCTAGTGGCGTCCAAAAGGGATGCCCCCTGTCCCCATTTCTATTCAGCTTGAGAAGTGAAAAGACATGCATGGATTGATTCAATCTCATGATTGTTGTAATATTGATGGTACCAAGATAGAGAGTAATTCAAAAGTTTCTTATCTTGGCATTAGTTTCTCTTCAAACCTTTGCTGGTCGTCTCATATTCTTATAGTTTCTAAGAAAGTTTTCCGTCTGACTTATTACATAAAGAAGTTGAGACACTCAGGTATAACTCAATCTCTTATCATACAATTTATTAATTCATGTGTTTTGCCCATCATTCTTTATTGTTCTCCATTATTCTTCCCAGGGCTACTCAAGAAAGACCATATAATACTACGAAGAACATTGAGGGCTGTAAGTAGGGTCAGTGCTATCCCTTTGACTCAACTAAATGACACTGTTGTCAATAGGCATATGAATTCTTGTAAACACTTAGCTAAAGTTATCTTATCTGATAGTGAACATCCTCTTTATTCACAATTGTTTCCTTGTATCTCTTCGGGTAAGACCAGAAGAAATTTTATAGACATTTATGCTCGTACTACAAAATATAAAAATTCGACCGTTCCATATTTGGCACGAGTATTGTGTGAAGAGACAAATATCAGAAAAGAACTTTTGCAACTTTTGAATCAATAACTAAACTATAAAATGTAATGAAGCATATTATTATGCATGTGTTATTCGTTATATTATTTATTTATTATTCACTATGACCTAGAATGGTGTGATTTTGTTGGATTTTTTTTATTAACTATCAATATTTTAACATTTTATACATTTATATAATTATAAACAGAGCTAAACCATTGCAATATGTAAAAGAAACGCTGAAAATTCCATGCTTTAAATTTTTATTGTTGTGGAATAAAGTGATTATTATTATATTATTATATTATTATAGTGTTACTACTCACTTATCCAGGCTAAAGGTGGATCGGAACTCAAAACCAGGGCCTTGAAATTTCTGTAGCAGTGTTTAATTTTACAGGATGGGGTTGCTAGCCTCATTCCTAACGTTTCCTCTTTAGCAGCATTATTTCTAGCTCAGCGAGGCAAATGAGTGCGTCGGCCGGGGATCGAACCCCGGACCATATGCATGGTTGGAGAGAGTTACCAAGGAATAATCCCATTGACTTAGAATATGCAGATGATATACTACTTCAAGGTAAAGACGCTGACAAAATACAGCAGAGTCTCCTGAACACCTTGACAGGCAGCAATCTGCGAATGTTTGGCATGCGATTCGCTCCCGCCAAATGTAAGATGACGCTACAGGACAAGACTGGACTACACTGACTTCTAGCTTGGAAACAGGGAGTGAATTGGTAGAGCACGTTGACCACTTCAATTATTCGGGACGTCGCATCAGCCTGTGCCAACGGTTCGATCTCTGACGAAATCTCAGCACAGATACAGAGGGCTGGTTTCACATATGCCAGTTTATTCCATCTCTGGCTTAGTAGACGTGATATCCGGCTGGCTGTCGACCAAAGGGTGTGTACTGCTCAGCAGTCCGCTCCATTCTCCCCCATGGTTGCGAGACATGGCCACTGAGAGTGGACAAAGGCTGACTACCTGTCTTTGATCATACGTGCTTGAGTTCTATGTCCCGTGTTAAATGCTAAAATGTGAGCAATATTGAGGTAAGGTGTTCGTCGAGTGCTAGGTAAGGAGGGGAAATCAATAGACGAGGCTGTGAAGCTACATCGACTGAGATGGTTAGAACATGTATTACGCATGCATTTCTAGCCACCCATCGCCTTCCTCGACCGGCGGGTAATGCTTGCTGACATAGGATGGATTAGGTTGGAAAACAGCCAGTGGTGGTCAGACCAAAACATGGCTTCTTCAATCAATGAAATCCACAACAGTTAGTTCAAGCCAGCCACAGAGGAAGATGTATACTTCCTGATTGGGGTCCTCGCGACGGTAAAAACCAATAGCCGGAGACAATTGGTTACATGGCTCAAAATCGTTCTCAATGGCTGGTGCAGATGCATCCACTCCTCGTGACTAATAATTTCCAATAAAACTGTATTGTTCTTCGATGTTACTATTCTTTATGTCTCATATATCTGTTCACCGTCTCTATTTTGCATTTCTTTTTACTTTCTTCTCTGACTTTGTGTGGTGAGTGAAGTGTGGAGACTCGAACTGCTGCACATTGGTGCAAAGCTCCATGTTGAAACCAGTCAGTCAGTCATAGCTAAGTAAAGAGAGACACCTAGAACTCTGAAATGATGCGAAAAAGATTTAATCCACCTTTTACGTGCCTCAATAAGATATCATCTTCCAGATCTTCTAAAGCAGACGCATTCCCAAAAACAGACAAAACTCTCCTACCCACCATCGGCCGTTTTAATTCGTCGACAAAATTTGGCCAGATAATTCTTATCGAGCAACTCTGACCGACAAGCGATTCAATGTAGAACGTTGCACAAAACTGAACTAGTTCAATTTGTCACACGCAAATGAAGACTATTTCTTCAAATATACAACTAGATACATCCAATTACTAACTGTAAACAACCCAATAACCCAAGTCATATAAGTACTGACAAGGTGTACGTGTGAGATGATAGCATTTTGTCAGAAAATACATTGAAATACAAAAGCGGAACTTGTCCCTTAAGTCAGGAACAAAACATGACTGCGCTGGCGGATGTTTCAGTATTCGGCTAACAATGAACCAGTATTGGCACTACCTGGAGGAGTAAACCCCAGTTGGTGGTCAAAGTTCATATCGCCCACTCAACAGATGGAAGACGAATATCTATATCAATGTTGCACAACTCTGCATTACCAAGATGGTATATTCACAAAATTAATAAAGGGTAATGGAACTTAACTAAGAAGAATTCTACAGGCAACTACAGGCAACAATGGACAATACTCCAGCTGGCGACATGAAAATACTAATGGGAGACATGAACGCCAAACTGGGACCAGACAATACGGGAAGGGAACTCATCATGGGTAGAGAAGCTCTAGGAGAAATGAATGAAAACGGAGAACTCTTCGCCGACTTCTGCGCCTTCAACGAACTGGTGATTGGTGGCAGTGTATACAAGCACAAAGATATCCACAAGGCTACATGGGTGTCACCAGACGGGCAAACCAAAAACCAAATCGACTTCATCTCAATCTCAAGGAAGTGGAGGCGCAGCCTACTGGACACAAAAGCAAGAAGAGGAGCAGACGTTGGCTCAGACCACTATCTCGTACAAGGGACAATCCAAATCAAATTAAAAGCTTTCAGGGAATCAGGAGCTGCAGATAGACCACAAGCCAAGTTCAACACTCAAAAGCTGAAGGACCAGGCTACAAAGGACATCTTCATTGCAAGCATAAAGGACAAAGTCGAGACACAAATCAACACTAGCGAAGAGGTCGGCGTTGAAAAGCACTGGAACAACTTGAAAACGGTGTGGAGCCAAACCTGCATAGAAATTCTAGGCAGAAAAAAGAGACAGGACAAACAGTGGCTCACTATGGACACTTGGAAACTAATAGAAGAGAGAAGGACAGTGAAGCAAAAGATTATCCAGTGCACGGACGAGCAACAAAAACAGGAGCTGAATGCAAGCTACAATACACTGAACAAAAGAGTGAAGAAAAGCGCCAGGGAAGACAAAAGAAAATATTATGAAACCATGGCAAACGAAGCAGAACAAGCTGCAGGCAAAGGAGACCTCGCCACACTCTACCAAACAACTAGGCACCTTTCGGGCAAACGTTCGACACAGATTAAGCCAATAAAGGACGACAATGGAAAGTCAATCACCAAAGAGGTGGAACAGAGAAAGCACTGGGTTGAACACTTCAAAAGACTTCTAAATCGTCCGCCACCTACAACACGTCCAGCAATACCAACAACGGAAGCAGAACTACCAGTGAACACTGACCCCCCGACGAAATCAGAAGTCCTGAATGCAATCAAGATGCTTAAAACTGGGAAAACACCGGGACCAGATGGAATCCCAGCAGAGGCTTTGAAAATAGACCCAGAGACAACAGCGGACTTGATGACACCACTACTGGAGAAGGTGTGGAAAGAGGGCAAAGTACCCGAGGATTGGAAGAACAGTTACTTATTCAAACTTCCAAAGAAAGGAGACTTAAGTCAATGTAAAAACTGGCGTGGAATTATGCTTCTGTCCATTCCAAGCAAGATACTAAGTCGCATCATCCTGGAGAGAATCAAACAAGCCCTAGATGAAAAACTTCGTCCGGAACAGGCTGGATTCAGGAGAAACAAATCATGTATTGATCAAATCGCCACTCTACGGATCATCATTGAACAAAGCTTGGAATGGCAGTCACCTCTCTATCTCAACTTCATCGACTTTGAAAAGGCCTTCGACAGCGTCGATCGAGAGGTCATTTGGAAACTACTTCGCTACTACGGGGTCCCATCGACAATTATACACCTCATCCAACAGTTATACGACAATGCTGCATGCCAAGTAATCCACAACGGGAAACTTACGGAAGCCTTCGAAGTGAGGACGGGAGTGAGGCAAGGCTGTCTACTATCACCAATGATCTTCCTGATTGCAATTGATTGGATAATGCGACAGACAACGGCAACCAACGAGGGAACAGGCATAAAATGGACTGACACAAAAGACTTGGAGGATCTGGATTTCGCCGATGATATATGTCTGATTTCCCATAAACTGGAAGATATGCAAATGAAAAGTAACAAGTTGGCAGAAGAAGCATCAAAGATAGGACTTCACGTGAACATAGATAAAACAGAGATGATGAAGATTCCTTGCCAACATCAACAGCAACAACAGACCACAATAAGCATAAATGGGAAGAACCTGAAAGAAACAACCTCCTTCACCTACCTGGGAAGCATCGTCTCAACTACAGGCGGAACTGACGAAGACATCAAAGCCAGAATCGGAAAAGCAAGACAAGCTTTCATTACTCTCAAATCTGTGTGGAGGTCAACAGCAATCAGCATCAAAAATAAGATCCGGATTTTCAACTCCAATGTGAAGTCAGTGCTACTATACGGATCAGAGACTTGGCGAGTCATAAAGAGCATCTCAAACAAACTTCAAACCTTCATTAACAACTGTCTCCGCTCAATACTCAAGATCAGATGGCCAGAAAAGATCAGCAACAGGGATCTCTGGGAGCGAACCAATCAGGAACCGATTGTGAAACAAATAGGCAGAAAGAAATGGAGATGGATTGGCCATACGCTGAGGAAACCATCAAGTGACATCACTAGACAAGCCCTCGAGTGGAACCCGAAAGGGAGGCGGCGAGTTGGTCGTCCAAGGGTGACTTGGAGGAGGTCATGTGAAGAGGAGATGAAAGCATGTGGGCAGACCTGGAGCAGGGTGAAAAAGTTGTCAGAAAACCGAAGTCAATGGAGGTGCGCAGCTGAAGCCCTATGTTCCTCTAGGAACTAAAGGATACAATAATAATAATAGAATAATAATGGAACTTAACAATTCTGTAGAACATCAATTTCACGCTAAGCGTAGCTTGCTGTTTAATACAATGAATGGTAACTGGTCATTGGGCTGTAGTTTTCCTCCTTAAGAGAGCTATAAGGTCCCAAACGTTTATGAACCAGAAGTAAACACCAAAAAAGAACGTTAAAAAGCATCGTAGATATCGAAAATATATACAAAGACAAACTTGTGTCGCAGAATTAGCATCTCCTCTACACTGCTCAAAGTATCCTACAGGACAATTTTCAATCCATCAGTCATAATTTATTTTAATTCCCCCCAGCTTAACGTATAGTTCTAAATCAATTTAAGTTAAAAGATTGGGAGTATTAACCACTAGAGGGGGGCAGGTTACTTTGATTAGTGCTCCGGAATACCTTTAGAAATATAAACACTGGCTAATAAAACTAAACCCAGCAACACTAAACTGTTACATTTTGATAACAAATCAGATTCCAAATTGTAAGTCTTCAAGCAAAGAGAAGTCATTTCGCGCAGTAACCAACACGATAACCGATGACATATGTGTATAAATCAGGTCGCGTTATGTTACTTATCCTTAGTCATTCAAGAGCAAGTTCATAAACATCAACTTTCAAAGTTAATATAGTCAAAAACATTGGATTCTATTTATCCCATGAGGACCCGACAATGGAGTTTCAAGCGTCATGCAACGCATACCACTATTAATAGTTGTGATCCTACAGTTGTAAAGCCTAATACTTTACCTACAGCTAAAGTATTATAAGGGTGTTCAATGTGCACCTGTACAGAAGGGTTACGCTATCAACCACTGAATTGTTAAACGAACATTACTAGTATACATGCATGTAGCGCCAATGTTGTAAATTGCGCCTTAACTCTTCAGAAATAAGAATAATAATTTGCTTTATTCCAAATAATTACTTGCGATACAGAATGGAAATCTCAGCATTTTACTACAGTATTGCATCCAGTTTGTACACTGTTAATAAAAAATTCTACATAGATTAAGGAAATCTCAGTTCATTGTGACAACAACTTATTGGCATGTCGGTAGCAAAGCCAAAATTGAACAGAGTGTTTGAAGGTGTTGGAAAAGTAGGTTCTAGCATATTTGCTGGCGTAAGCAGAAGAAAGAAACAAAGCGGAACATAACAGAAAAAGAGAGAAAAAAGGAAAAGAAAGAAAGAAAACGTTGTACCTATATGTGATTTGAGTTGGGAAGACGAGGTCTAATTGTTCTACTGTCTATTTAATAAGTTGAAGGTATCACGCCTAATGCTTTCTTTATCGCACAGAACACTAGCTAAGTAGGTAGGGTATGGATGAGTTTTTGTACTTGCTAGTGCGAGCATATAGTTTTCTATATAGGCCTGAAGAGATACAAGGGGAGAGTTGTGAATGAAGAGGGTGTTGTGAATTGGATAAGATGGATTTCGCCCATCTTTCACATGAGTCCATGCGCCTGTCAACCAAAGTATTAACAAGCAGGTTAAGTGGCACGTTGCTTGCCTTGCTGGAAACCTTCAACATCCTGCGTAGTAAGGTATAGTCTTTTTTCAGAAGCCAGCCTTGGAAAAACTAAGGGGGACCAATATAGAATAATAAGCAGAATGCGGGGGTCAACGAATTGTAGGAGTAAGCGTTGGGTTATACCAGAATATCTTAACTTCTTGATGTAGATGGTAAGACGGAATATTTTCTTAGAAGTCATCAAGATATGAGACGACCAGGAAAGATCAACAGGTAGAATGACGCCAAGATATTTAATTTCCGACTTGGTTTCTAATTAAGCGCCATCTATGTTGTACACCTCGTGAGTGCTAACCAGTTTGTTTAGGTCAGATTTGTGCCTAAAGGTGAAATTGATTATTATTGTATCCTTTAGTTCCTAGAGGAACATAGGGCTTCAGCTGCTCACCTCCATTGACTTCGGTTTTCTGACAACTTTTTCACCCTGCTCCAGGTCTGTCCACATGCTTTCATCTCCTCCTCGCATGACCTCCTCCAAGTCACCCTTGGACGACCAACTCGCCGCCTCCCTTTCGGGTTCCACTCGAGGGCTTGTCTAGTGATGTCACTTGATGGTTTCCTCAGCGTATGGCCAATCCATCTCCATTTCTTTCTGCCTATTTGTTTCACAATCGGTTCCTGATTGGTTCGCTCCCAGAGATCTTTGTTGCTGATCTTTTCTGGCCATCTGATCTTGAGTATTGAGCGGAGACAGTTGTTAATGAAGGTTTGAAGTTTGTTTGAGATGCTCTTTATGACTCGCCAAGTCTCTGATCCGTATAGTAGCACTGACTTCACATTGGAGTTGAAAATCCGGATCTTATTTTTGATGCTGAGTGCTGTTGACCTCCACACAGATTTGAGAGTAATGAAAGCTTGTCTTGCTTTTCCGATTCTGGCTTTGATGTCCTCGTCAGTTCCGCCTGTAGTTGAGACGATGCTTCCCAGGTAGGTGAAGGAGGTTGTTTCTTTCAGGTTCTTCCCATTTATGCTTATTGTTGTCTGTTGTTGTTGTTGCTGTTGATGTTGGCAAGGAATCTTCATCATCTCTGTTTTATCTATGTTCACGTGAAGTCCTATCTTTGATGCTTCTTCTGCCAACTTGTTACTTTTCATTTGCATATCTTCCAGTTTATGGGAAATCAGACATATATCATCGGCGAAATCCAGATCCTCCAAGTCTTTTGTGTCAGTCCATTTTATGCCTGTTCCCTCGTTGGTTGCCGTTGTCTGTCGCATTATCCAATCAATTGCAATCAGGAAGATCATTGGTGATAGTAGACAGCCTTGCCTCACTCCCGTCCTCACTTCGAAGGCTTCCGTAAGTTTCCCGTTGTGGATTACTTGGCATGCAGCATTGTCGTATAACTGTTGGATGAGGTGTATAATTGTCGATGGGACCCCGTAGTAGCGAAGTAGTTCCCAAATCACCTCTCGATCGACGCTGTCGAAGGCCTTTTCAAAGTCGATGAAGTTGAGATAGAGAGGTGACTGCCATTCCAAGCTTTGTTCAATGATGATCCGTAGAGTGGCGATTTGATCAAGGTGAAATTGACTGTTTGGCATTTGAAGGGATTTAAGGTGAGACCGTTTTCCTTGGACCATTGGCTGATTTCTGATGTAAAGGCGTTTAGTTTGGAGCAGTCACTTCGACATTTCACAGGCAAAGATACAGTCAATTCGTCAGCATATTTGACAAAATTAATGTAATTTGAAGATGGTAGGTCATGTAGGGAGAAAGAAAAAGGAAGTGGGGAGAGTACAGCACTTTGGGGGATACCAGCTCCAGGAAGCACAGCAGAAGAGGATTTACCTTTGTATATAGTGTACTGCATCCTGTTAGAGAAGTAGGAATGCGACCAGATTGTGACCCAGGACTCAGTTTGTGTCATAGAGAGCTTATTCAGCAGGAAACATCTGGGTACAGAGTTGAAAGCAGAAGTGAAGTCGAGAAGCGTGAAATGGACGTATTTGGCACCTTTATCTAATGATGAGACGATACTGTTGTGTAAGACGGCTGCAGCGTCTAAAGTACTCCTACCCTGTCTGTAGACAAATTGTTTGGGGTCTTCGAAGCTCTTAAGGGAGGGTTCGAGTTTAAGGAGTACTAGTTTTCCCATAAGCTTTAGAAACGGGGAGGTGACGGCAATGGGTCAGAACTTAACGTTCTTGCTATTGCCAGGTTTAGGGACAGGGGCTATTTTAATGTCTTTCCATGGAACAGGTACAACGTTTTCGGAGAAAGAAGCATTTAGGATGTTAGTTAGTGGAAGACATAGAGCATCTGCACATTGTTTTAGAACATATGCAGGTATACCATCAGGGCTAAGGCTACGTGAGGGCTTTAGCGTTTTAAGACATTTTAAAACATCGAGAGTATTAAAGTCATGAAAGTTATATAAATAAATAAATTTATTCTCATGATACTGTACATGAGGGACGCCAGTTTACAGGCATCATCAAATTGTTACAGAAATAGGACCATATTATTCAGTCACAATTTACAGTCGATAGAAAAATATGTTTAACATGTACACTGGAGATTATACATACACTTGATAAGTGTTAATCCCAGTAGTATTAAACATCCTTTTCACTTATGTACAATCGTTTCTGTGCATAGTTGGAAAAATCTGCTAGATTGTCAGTGAGTGCAACACATCAGGAAATACAGGAGTATTGTCTTCGCATTAACAAAAAAACCAGGTCTTTGGTGGATGGTTTATAAGTGCCTGGGAAAAAAAATAAAGCTTGAAGTCAGTTTTCATACATAATTTTGTTATGTACAGAATTCTTGAATTATAGTTCATTGTTGTGTTATTTGGAAATCAGTGATTTGCTTATCTCATTTGATCTGCAATGTCATTGTTGGGAGCAAAATACATAAGCTTTGGACGCATTAATTAATGGATTTCTACTCCTTGTGGGTATTTACTTCTCATGAGGAGGGTTTTTGAATTTTAGTTGTTCCGACAGGAGTTGTGGATATTAACTGCTCAGCAACATTACGGATATAAGTTCATCACATTATCTTAGGAAAGTTGAGTTGTGGTTGGTGAGGTATATAAGATGCCCGACGGGCGTACATCTGTCCATGTGATGTTGTGGTGAGTTATATCTTTTTCATGTTGTCGGTTTATATCCATTTTATTCCACTTATTGTGTTGGGTAGAAGTTTTACAAACGAAAATTCTTGTCTTTTTGAGGGTAAGTATCTTAATCGTTAATGTTTTATCTAAAATTATAAATATAGGCAAAAAACAACAGGTGTAGTATTTAAGCTTATACATTAAATGGACCTATAATTTCGGAGGCTCTCAGATAGGAACTAGGAGTACCATCGTTTGCAAACTCTTGTAGTTTGTCGTTAAGCACCTTTTTGAAGGAGGCCAATGTACCTGCTTGACACACTTCCATTGGTAGTTTATTCCATATCTGTGCATACCTAATCAAATAAAACTTTTGCCTGGTAGCTGTTTTACATTGTTCGATAGCTACTGTACCCTAAGTGCGTCTTAGTTTGTAGCCACTGTCATCTGAAAGTCGAATGCCATTAGTAGAGGTAAAAACTAAGTGGTTTAGAAGCTTATAGTAAAGTGTTAAGTTTAGTCTCAGGCGTCTTAGCCATAGTGCTTCTAGTCGGAGGGTATCACATCTAGTGGAGTAGTTCGCACCATTTTCGGTTCCGAGTAATTTTGACGTGAAGTAACTCTGCACTCCCTCGACTTTCAATTTGTCCTTTATGCGTATACTACTATACATGAATGAACAGTAATCAAATAAAGGACGCACACAAACATTGTACAACAGAATTCTGGACTCATTTCTGTAAAAGTTCCTGAGTAGAAAGCCGATAAGTCTGCGTGACTTTGACACTTGTTTGGAGATATGTTCAGAAAATGATAAGTCATGTGAGTATTTCAGTCCTAGGTCCAATACAGATTCCAGTCGTAAGAGTGCATGGCCTTGAATTGTCAGGTCAAGTTCTAAATTGTTGCAACCTATGCAGAGCCAGCCACATTTGTCGACATTAAACTGGAGTTGCCAGGTGTCACACCATCTATCCATTTTTTCTAATTCTTGCTGTATGGCGTTTACTGTTATTCCGAGATCTGTGTTCTTGCATTTATAGGTCACTTTTAAGTCATCTGCATATAGTATTGGTTTACCAACACAAAAGCATTCACAGATACTGTTTATATATATTATGAATAGGAGTGGGCCTAATACACTTCCCTGGATTACACCACTACTTACAGGTTTGGGCCTTGAGATTATCAGCTACATGATTAGTAACGCTAGAGCTAGGAGAAGGAAAGCGTATAAAAGACTGATCAAAAGCATTAACATCATAAGAGGGAAAACATTACAT